TCCAAAGCGCTGCTTTCGGTGTTAAGATCCGGGCTTTTTTTTTTTTTTTTTTTTTTCCTCCCCTGTCTATAAAAGTAAAAAGTCATCTCGGATTGAGAGCGCCATTGTCAGGAGCAGAGCCCGGGATGGTTTACACTGCACCTAATGGCATGTAACACTTTCAACAAACTGCAGGGCTGCCGGCCTCCCCCTCCGCGCTGCGAACACTGAGCTTCTTATATCTCGGCACACAAAACTTTTTTCTTTTCTTTTTTTTTGGGAAGCTCTTTGCCGGGAAGGACAGCGCTCGTATTTTGCCAGCAAAGTCATTTAAACTGTCCGCTGATATTTTGCAAATAATCATCCCCTTCAGACAATATCGCAGAAACTGGGTCATCCGCTGGGGGCGATTCGGTTTCAGGGTGCCTTTTGTGTGCGGAATGGGAAAAGGGAGACGGCGGAGGGAATCCGAGCGCTTTGTTTTGTGCGCGTTCGTTAGCTGCATGAAACGCCGTCATTATGGGCTTATGGGAGATTAGGAGATCGTTTCGGGTGGTTTCCCACATGGTAATAGGAGGCAAGATAAATGGTTTTCTGTTGTCTCAGAGAAGAAGACCATACACGTGAGACGGTGGTTGGAAGACGCCTGAAAGATCTTTTTTATTAACAGGGACGGTTATTCTATATGAACATGCGCGTTTATGGATAAGCAAATATTGTCCTCATACAAGAGTCATGTGTATCCTTCTTGCTCACTGCTGCTCTCTCTCCTTGTGCAGGGTGACTGGTCTTGTCTCCGCCCCCTGCTGTAATAAAGACCGCTCACTGCTGCTCTCTCCTTGTGCAGGGTGACTGGTCTTGTCTCCGCCCCCTCCTGTAATAAAGACCGCTCACTGCTGCTCTCTCCTTGTGCAGGGTGACTGGTCCTGTCTCCTCCCCCTCCTGTAATAAACACCACTCACTGCTGCTCTCTCCTTGTGCAGGGTGACTGGTCTTGTCTCCGCCCCCTTCTGTAATAAAGACCGCTCACTGCTGCTCTCTCCTTGTGCAGGGTGACTGGTCTTGTCTCCACCCCCTGCTGTAATAAAGACCGCTCACTGCTGCTCTCCCTGCTTGTGCATGGTTACTGGTTTTGTCTCCGCCCGCTCCTGTAGATTCCTGTAGTGGATGGAACCTGCTGAGTCCCTCCCACAGCTTTGCTCTCTGCAGAGCCTATGTACAGCACAGTGATGATGTCTCTGCTATGGTGCACACAAAATGGATTTATATCCTTTGTGGCTATTGAGGGATATATAGTTTAATGAAAGTTTTTGTGCCCAGAGTTATTTATGATCTTTATGCTCTGAGCTGAGAAGTCAAGGCAGTGCAGCATGCAGGAGGAAGCATTTCCTCAGTCTTGCTCCCCCAGCAATCAGTCTGCTGCAGGCAGGAGAAAGCGTTTCCTCAGTCTCCCCTCCCCCAGTGATCAGTCTGCTGCAGGCAGGAGAAAGCGTTTCCTCAGTCTCCCCTCCCCCAGTGATCAGACTGCAACACTATAACTTTCTATCTACTCAGGTGAGACATTTGTGAATACATCCAAGAGATGGTGACCCTGGATGATGCCTGAGATCATGGTGCCATCCTACTGCAGAAAGAAGCAGATGAAGGCATTGTCAGGGGGAGTCCTGTGATCTCTGTGAGAGTTTATAAATAACTGACGGTTGCAGCTACGATTGTATACCGGCGCCCCTGTGCCGAGGCTCTTTTACTGCAGTCCGCTGATGGCTGAAGCTCCATTCCCAGAATCCTCCGGGGTTCTCCTGGGTCAGGAGGACGAGACACAGATTGGCCAGACTTCCTACATAAAGAACTGATAATTGAGAGGCTGCGTCGGAGGCCACTTTCCCCTGATTGCATTACCATGCAGGTTAGAGCAGAAATCAATACTTCATCGCCAGCAAATACACTGAGAACAGCTCAGCAAGAAAACAAAATTAGACTATTTAAGGGGAGCAAACTAATTTTCATGGAAGTTGTCTACAAAGACTGAATCTCCGCATAAATAATCTTCACTATTCCTGCACTATATGGTAAATACGCTCCTGATTGTATACTATGCAGAGTGACGGCACAGAGAGGGCCACCATTAGGGAACATGGGGCTCCATACAGCTTACCTGACAGGCCCACCCCCAAGGGCCCAGTAAATGGGTACTGCCAGTATACCCCCAATGGTTGCCCTGGCTACAAATCATCGAGGCATGGTAAGAAGGGGGCACAGGGAACCACATACCACCCCAATAAAATACTACGGAGTCCAGTATGGCTGCCTACTGGTTCCAATGGCCAACCTGTCATCTATCCAACTATCCATCCAGAGCCACCATTTATAGACCGGATACATCCTAAATATAGAACCATTTATCCAACTATCCATCCAGAGCCGCCATTTATATACCGGATACATCCTAAATATAGAACCATTTATCCAACTGTCCATCCAGAGCCGCCATTTATAGACCGGATACATCCTAAATATAGAACCATTTATCCAACTGTCCATCCAGAGCCGCCATTCATAGACCGATATATCCTAAATATAGAGCCATTGATCCAACTGGCCATCCAGAGCCACCATTTATAGACCAGATACATCCTAAATATAGAGCCATTGATCCAACTGGCCATCCAGGAGCCCCCTAAATATAGAGCCATTTATCCAACTGTCCATCCAGAGCCGCCATTTATAGACCAGATACACCCTAAATATAGAGCCATTTATCCAACTGTCCATCCAGAGCCGCCATTTATAGACCAGATACACCCTAAATATAGAGCCATTTATCCAACTGTCCATCCAGAGCCGCCATTTATAGACCGGGTACATCCTAAATATAGAGCCATTTATCAATGGTGGTAAAGACGTTAAATGCCATGTTTTAGAGAACTCTCCATATTCTGCGATAGGTTTCCTGGGTAGATACAGTAGTTTCATGTATAGAGCTCTTACCCCCAGGGCAAGGCCAAGGGTTTGGCAGTAGAGGCAGCCACCTTGGGCTCTTCTGGAGGAGGTGGGCTCAGAAAGGACAGGACCTATGACCTATACTGCTAGAGTAGTTTGCAGCTTACGGGGTGGGGGGGCCCCCATACCCCCTTCCATTGAAATATTTTCCCTTTCTGAAGCCGGCGGACCATTCGTACTGCCTTCTCTCATATATGGCTCTCTAAGTGTATTTCCGTCAATGCAGAAAACAATTCACTGCGTGCTGACTCCTCCTGGACAATCCTCCGTCCATCTCATTCCCAATAAACAGGCCAGATACCAGTATATACTGTACACCAGGGACCGGCTGCATTAGGCTGAATACACCTCGCTGATACACCTTCCTGGAAGAGCGAGTCGGGGGAGGGGAATTTTCCATGTCAGAGGTATGGACTGAAGGAAAAGCAGCCGTCATCTTGGATACAATGTATTTCTTTAAAGTGGACCGAGCATCAGATATTCCTTCATGGTAAGTAATGTGTCAGTGCGATGGTGGGTCCAGGTCCTGTAGCCCCCAGGCCAAGTGCACCCCTCCGCCCATGATTTGTGAGCTTCTTCAGCAGCATAGGTTGCAGATCCTGCCCATTATGCGCCACCATCTTGCCTCTACCCACCCCTCGGCCAACCTCTGATAGAGGTCACAATACCCCCCCTGGCAATGTCCTCAGGGGATGGTCTCTGTGCATCCAGAATACACAGCATGCCGTAAACTATGCCTGTTTTAAATGACAGTAAAGGCAAGTTACCTGATCCCGTGACTGCCATCTAAGAGGGATGTCCCCCATTGTGGAGAGCCATCCTCTCACCTCCCATTGTCATTACGTACCCTTTTTTGGACCCAATGATGTCACCATTGGGTCTCTGTGCTTCTGTGTTCAATGCAGGCAGATCATGGCTGGTGGGAGGGGCTGTCAGGGTGCTGTACATAGTTTCCTGAAAACATCGCAGCACCCTGCCTCACTACTCTTCTCAAGAGCCCTCAGCCCTGATGCAAGAAGTGGGCCGGCTCTTGGGAGGAGTTATGCAAATATCGAGATGCCTTGTGTCAGTCTGGCAGAGTGGGTGTGACGTTTGCATGCAGACCACCCTAGGTAACGCCCACATGTGATGCTGAACCTACATGATTGAAAGATATGCAATGGATTAAAGGGGCGGGCCAGGGACGGAGGTCAGATAGAAGACTGAAGGGAAGGACGGAGGTCAGATATAAGACTGAAGAGAAGGATGGAGGTCAGATGAAGGCTGAAGGTGAGGACGGAGGTCAGATAGAAGACTGAAGGGGAGGACGGAGGTCAGATAGAAGACTGAAGGTTAGGACAGAGTTCAGATAGAAGACTGAAGGGAAGGACAGAGGTCAGATAGAAGACTGAAGGGAAGGACAGAGGTCAGATAAAAGACTGAAGGGAAGGATGGAGGCCAGATAGAAGACTGAAGGTTAGGACAGAGTTCAGATAGAAGACTGAAGGGAAGGACGGAGGTCAGATAGAAGACTGAAGGTTAGGACAGAGTTCAGATAGAAGACTGAAGGGGAGGACGGAGGTCAGATAGAAGACTGAAGGGAAGGACGGAGGTCAGATAGAAGACTGAAGGGAAGGACGGAGGTCAGATATAAGACTGAAGGTGAGGACGGAGGTCAGATAGAAGACTGAAGGTAAGGGCGGAGGTCAGATAGAAGACTGAAGGGAAGGACGGAGGTCAGATAGAAGACTGAAGGGGAGTACAGAGGTCAGATATAAGACTGAAGGGAAGGATGGAGGTCAGATAGAAGACTGGGGGGAGGCCGGAGTTCTGCTTTACCCATAACAGGATCCAGGATGGGGGTTGGGCAGACGCAGCGATAATAAAACTCTTTTCAATAAAGAAATCATAAAAATACATATAAACATTCCCCGACTGGCACGAGATTTATAAAC